AAAGTAGACAAGCTAAGCCACAGTGACAGAAAACCTGGATTTGAACTGCAGCTTAGTAGTGATCACCTTTAAATGCCGAAATGCATTCTGTTTTTGGTAATCACTCCTCAGTAATGAGGTCAGTATTCAAATATAGCATTCAGAAAGAGACACGGCACTAATTATCTCTTGTTACAGGCGGAGAAGCTTTTGAAAGCCCTCAAGGAGCATTTTGAGCAACAGGACAAAGGAGGGACCACAGAGAAAGTAAGAACATGTCTTTAATTTCCATGAAAATGTCAGTGTTTTTGTAAATGTAGAGCTTTCTATACTGTGGCTAAGAATGTTAATGTAATTCCTGTATACCTTACCCTGTTAAACGGCAGATCATCAGTGACTTGAGTTAGTTAAGGGCAGTGTTGTGTCTTCTCTAGGAGAATGAGGTCTCTACCGATTCTGCATCGAGTGAGAACTTAAATGTAAGCGAAGGCGAGCCGGACCAGAAGACGTTTGTGACGAAAAGGCGTGGACGGGGCAGGCAGCCAGTGAAGAGGAGGAAGCAGCAGCAGGAGGAGGAGGAGGAGGAGGAGAGTACTGGAGAAATGGGGAAAGCAACGAGTCCCTTGAACAAGCCTGAATCCACCCCGCAGGTACCACGCTCCGACCTTTCGGAAGGATGACGTCTTTCTGCTGTAACCTCTCTTCCCCAGCAGATCAGTTCCAATTCAGTTTAGTTTTAGAAAGCGCCTTTCACAACAAGGTTGCCCCAAGGCGCTTAACAAAGCAAGTGACCATATATGTTATGAATGCAGAACAGAAAGGACCAGAAGACAATGGAGGAGAGGAACCAAAAACTTCTAGGGGTCCAAGGTCAAGTAGCTGCCCAACCCCTTTGGGCATGCTAGCATTATACAATTAAAAACAAGGAATAATGAATAAAAGTATTAGTCCATCCATCATGTCTTCTGTATGTCAGTACTCCATGCTGATCTCTGTAGACCAGCAAAAGCCGGGCACCATCTGAGTTGGATGCTGCATCACTGCCACATCATGGATATAGCTATCGTTTATATATAGCTGGATATAGCTATCCAGACATGTGGGGAGGAGAATAGGATAGTTTGGTCAGAACAGATTTATCTAACTGGTGGGCCAACATAGAAACACACAATGGCCTTCACAGCAGCACCTGCAGCCATGGTTGCAGCAGGCTATGATGTAAGGTGTGAGTAGGCTAGGCTGAAGTAATAGGTCTTCAGCCTGGATTTGAATACTGAGATTGACTCGGCATCCTGAACATGGAGTCGGAGACTGTTCAATAAGATAGGGGCCCTGTTTACTAAAGGCGATTTTTTTAATTTATGCGTGGAATATGAAGAAGACCTGCATCCTATGATCTAAGCGGGCGACTTGGATGGTATACATTAATAAGTTCCATTAGATAGACAGACGCCTGACCTCTGAGAGCCTTGTAAGTAAGTAGAAGGATTTTGAAGTCTGCCCTGTACCTGACAGGAAGCCAATGAAGAGAGCTATGTATAGGTGTTATATGGTTGTACTTTCTGCTCCTAGTAACAATTCTAGCTGCAGCATTCGGAATTTGCTGTTAGGTGTTGAAAGAGTGATGGGTGCTCCCTGATAGTAGGGCATTGCAGTAGTCTAACCTGCTGTATACAAGAGCATGAAATCCTCCTGACTTGAGCTCAAGAGAACTGCCTGTGTCTGAGAACAATTCAGGAGCATTCATGAATAATTAACATTGCTTTGGATTTATAAGTGGATATCAAAGGAGCCAAAAGTACTTTACACAGAGTTCTTTACACAACCATTTTATCTCCTGACTGAAGTACAGTCCCACTGCAGGTCAGGGCAAGAGTGAGAAACTATTGAATTAAAGAGGAAGAGAAGAGCATGATCTCAACACTTGTCACAACACAACTTGTCAGCGCCATGGGTTTTTTTAAACACCAGGTTGTTGGGAGCTTGGTTTAATATCCTAACTTTTCCCCATAAATGTAATCTGAAGCTTTGGTGTTACATCTTAGAAAATTGCAAAGGAGAGAAGAAAAGAAAAACATTATGTGTTTCTTCTCTTTTCAGTGTGGAATAAACCTTTACTTGTTCCTTTGCAGCCTACGCATGCTGACGCAGCTACCTTCTTGAACGTCTTAGAAGATTAACTTACTAACATTGTCTTTTTGGCGGATACTACATTAGTTTGGTTCTCATTTTCCCTTTTCACCAGGCAAATTTATTACTCTTTCGGATTTATTTTAAAATGCCCTTTTTGTTCGTTTTTGTTTGATGAAGTGTATTGTGTTCTCTTAATTCTGTAGGCCAGTGAAGAACCCCAGGTGCAGCCTAAGGCACTGAGTAGTGGCAAGAGGAGGAGGCTGACTCGAGCAGAGGAAGTCAGAAGTGCAGAGACAGCTGTACAGCCCCCAGACACTGCCCAGGTCCCCCAGCCCCAGTCCAGTGATAAACCGAAAAGGGCTGAAAAAGATGATGGTAAACAGCCTTGATTTCTCGGAGAGCAAATCCGTTCTGAATATCAGTGGTGGCCGTTTTGAGCAGTGTCTGACATGATTGCTCAATCATAGTGAAGTTGACTACGTTATATTGTGTGTTGCTCCAGCCTGTTGGGTTCCTCCTGATTATAAGTGGTACCTTACAGGAAAAAAAGTTATTTTTATGAAGATAAATTTGGGTAAGTACTCTTTCGTAAATCTGTCAAGTAGGTCATGGTTCAAGCTTGTATCATATCTTTACATAGCATTTCTTTTTTTTTTTCATCCTGCACTGTTATTGTTTAACATATACAACTTGGTTCTCATGTTTTGTTGAATCTGTAACCTATAAATCCGAGCAGCGGGTTTTGTTTTGCAGTAGACTGTCTGTTTTATGCTTTGATTCCTTCTGTTTGCAGGAACAACACAAGCGGACACTCGTCAAATGGGGAAGATTCCACGACATGAAGGCCTCATGAAGAGGATGGGGAAAGCTGTACTGAAGCCCACAACCCCGAGTATGAAACTTGTTTTTCATCATTCATTAACTGATTAGCACCACAGAACTGGCATTTTCAGCAGAAGCACGAAAGAGGTTTCTGCTTCAAGCATAAACATTTAACCTCATTGAACATTGCAGTGTCTTTTAACCCATGTGTTATTTTGCTATTTTAAACCCAATCAAATTGCAACATTTAACTTTTACACCTCTGACTTCATAAAGAGTGGACCTAAAGTAGTCCTCTGACTTTGCAATTTGGGCCCAGGTGAAGAAGAAAAGTCCAGACTATTCCAGACACTAAAGGTAGTGTCTTTTTCCAAACAATGATTTTTG